CAGTGTGATGTAGAAACTTAAAGTAGGAGACATCTTGTCTTTCTGTGCAAAGCTTACTGAAACTTCAAATATGTTACGTCTGTCATGTGTTATATGCACCGGTCTTGATGTTGGAAAGGTGTGCAAATCCGTAATTGGCATTAAAACTAAAGTAACAAGCCCGTTTTGAAAGTGTAAGGAGTAGGAAGTACAGATATTTGTGTGAAAATTTAGGGAGTAAAAGTAAAAGGGGGCTACAAAATTAATAGTCTTTGCACTTGGCTAAATCCCACCTCTGGCATTAAGTTTCACTCAAAACATATTTGCTGTTGCTTATATGAATGTGATCTCTAGGAGACAGGGCAGCACTGAGCATGTTTGCTGATTCGCAAGTCGAAATAAATCTAGATGTCTAGTTTAAAACTGAATAAATATATTGTATGAATTAGTTTCAAACTGTAGCAGGTCTTGGAATATAATCATTGAAATACTGCTGAAACACTAACATTTCATAATCTAGAACTTTTAACCACATTTAGTTTTAACAGTTTTAGGCAAGACTCTTCAAGTGTTTGACCTGCAAAAAAACCCACCAAAACTTACTATGAAGCTTCATTATTAAATTTAATTCTGCAGCAGTGATCAGCCTGGACCAAAGTGAAATAATAGCACACGTAACAGAGTGAGTGGGGTGAAGGAAAATTACATTATGAATGAAAATCTGTGTGATGTGTGAGAGACAGTTCCACTTTCACACACACACATCGTTCGCTCTTGAAGCTGAAGAGAACTTTTGGAAGTACAGTTTTCCTTTTTTTTTGGACATGATAATTGTCTTTTGCTGGTGATCTCCATCTCTTACATAACAATGACCTGGCTTGTCTTCTCCAAAGTAATTTCCGTTGTCCAGTTAAATGAATTGTTAGTCAGTGCCATTGTACAATATTTCCCCACGTAGAAAGTAGGGGAAGCAGAGTGCGAGGCGTTCATGCAAATGAGGTTAATGCCTTCAAGGCTGTTTGAAGAGGAAATTATATTTTAATCAGAGAGATCAGAGCGCCTGCCGGCTTTATCAGAAACAGAGAAGTGGTAGGAGGTCAAAGCGCTAAGGTCAGCTGTTGGTGATTTTGATTACATTAAAAAAAGAAGAAAGACTGAAAACTTTTCCATCACAACTAAATAAAGAAACCAATTACAGAAGTCTTACCTGATATGTCAGAAACACATCTAATAATTATCAAATGTTAGATTTTACAACAACTACTTTGATCACTTTTATACATTTGTGTACACATTTGTGTACACATTTGTTAAATTTAAGTCAATAACAGCTGATATTTTGTGCGATATGTCTCTAAACTTGACAGTTGTAGATAAAACAATCATTCTTGTCAGTCTAAAGACTCTCAAACAGATTTAGGCCATCGTGGGACACTGAAACCCTCCATTCAAAACCAGGCTAATTAACTTTTCTTAATGTTAGTAGCTTTTAAAGGGAGAAACTGTGTGACATATTATTACCAGACCAGAACAAAAGTCTGAAGCCCCTCTGGTGGCCTCCAGAGGGTACGACGTTAAGCATACCCCAATTAAAAAGGGTTTAAACAGGCAATGGATAGAATGAACATTAAGTTTTTTCAGAGTGTGTTACTCGAGGAAATGTCGTTCCTCTATGGGCTCAAATACAGGCCAAATAGAGCTTGCAGAAAGTATATAACCTGATTAGAGCTAGACCTCAGCCAATGTTACCGACATAATCGGTATTGTATTGGCGTTATTCAATAGCCTTCTGAGTAGCTTTACAGAGTCATATCGGTGCAAAATCGCCACACAATCCACATTGAAAAGGTCTATTTTCGTTCAAACTATGTATACCATATATTGGCCGCTATCAGTAATAAGTGAGGTTTTCAGTTTCAAAAATACCATATCAGTCAGCAACTAGGTAAAATTATGCATGAGGAATTCAAGAAAAGACGCGTATTTGTAGAAGAAATTACACAAAGTCTGAATTAAATTTGTGCTTAAATTCTATTACCATTGGCCAGAGGTGGACCAAGTCATTGATATGCGCAACAATACACAGGTCTTTGCACTCAAGCCCCAAGTCAAGACTGAATCGGTATGAGATTCTAAAAAAAAAGGCTGTTTTTGGTGCAACAGATCTTTTTCACAACAGTCACTTTGACATGAAATAGTAGGGTAAACACAGGTGTTACCAATTATTCTAATTAAGGTTTGATTCTATTTAGTGTAGCCTTTGCAGTGAGCCAACATGTACAACAGCAGCACCCTGACCTGAATGACATTGAACCATAATTATTGGTAGAACCTGTTTACCCTACTGCTGTTAAAAAGGTCTACTCCGTGGGTCTTGAACAACACTTGTACTTACGTAGGCATCGAGGCAGCTTCTGGTTCCATTTGGGGCCTGAGGATCCTCGGTTGAAGCAGGTGAGAAGACTGTTTCCAGACAGAGTGAAGCCCTTGTTGCAGATGTACTGGATGGTCGAACCCACAGTAAAATGGGGACCTGACAGCACCCGCCTGCTCTGCTCCACCTTTCCGGGGTCAGCGCAAGATACCACTGGAGGGACAGACAAAGGAAGAAGGTTGGATATTGTCAAGCCACATTTCTGTCTTCCTTTGTCTCACCTTGACAAAGAGATGTCAGAAAACTGTACAATCCATTCTCATGTTTACAACCAACATGCCATATGACTGGAATGTTGCCAGTTCAAAGCCCAGAAGGATAAATCTAAAAGATTTTCTTTTTTTAAATATAAAACTATAAACTAAAGTATGGATACTGACACATTTTACTCATATTTATATATATATTTATATACTCATAATCCTAAAAAGTATGTAATCTGTACCGGATACTTGTTTCAACTTAGTACTCACTCAACCCTTATTACTATAGTGACAAATGAAAGTAGGTTAATCACAAAAGGAACTCTATTGGAGTGCAGGTTATTTTGACTGAAAATAACTAACACCAAATGCTGCCCGAAGATAGATTTTTTTTTCAAATCTTAAATTTTTCTTGTGAAATGCTGGACAGTGTGAACTGTGCATACAGGTAGTTCAGAGACATATGCAACCTGTGACTAGTGGTGTAAATATTGCTTGGCTGTAAAGAACAGAAATGGTAGCAATGTGTATCACATTGTTGAATTGATCTGTGCAGACATGCTGTAAATACATTTCACATGATCAAACAAAGCGCCTGCAGAAAACATTAGCAGACAATGTGCAGATTTGGATCTTATAACAGAGGCTTTGCCTAAAAGTATCAGGGGGCCTGTGTTTGTAAAGAAAATATCAGACAGTCCAGCTCTGTTTGTTTGAGCCAGGTTACATAAGCCCACAGAGGCGGGATTTAGAAATGAGTTGCGTCTGTCCCGGCATCCAGTCAGGCCAGTTCTGGGCCCAGCAGGAGAAGGGCCAGCTAGGCCAGAAACACAGGGTGGAAGTCAGCCATGCTGGAGCTGAGGTCCCCGTCTGCTGCCAGTGGAGCCGGTCACTGGCAGCAAGGCACAGCCACTGTTTGTTGGTGTGTGTGTGTGCATGCGTGTGTCTGCTTCTATGTAACAGCTCAATAAAAAACAGACTTGTAGTAGTGAGGCCTGTTTTGCAAAGTCAGGCAGTTTTACCTTCACTCACTTCCTGCAGTGGCAGCTATTAGATGTAACTATTATGCAGAAGCATCTATCTTAGAACCACCAATCATTCTTCATCGAATTTGGCATTGTGGTTGTCGCAATACCAGTTTGTCGGAGCCAGTGAAGATGACGTACTATGTGTTGAGCTGCTCTCACTGGCTGCGCAGTGTCGAATTACAGATAAACAGTTTATTCAGTCTAGTCTATTGTCTATTTTGTTATCGTATCGGTTTTTATTGCAGCCACTGGAGCTCCCCCTGCTGGCCATTACATAGAATGCAGGTTTAAGACCCTTC